TCAACCGCTATGTCCTAAATTACATGATTGTTGGTAATTATTTATAAAAATATGGTGAAAAATGTTTTCAATATATTCTGTATTTAGTGGCAACATGATTCAGTATCACTTATAAAGAGACAAATTTTAATTAAGTAAGAACGTATGAGATGTATTCAGAACGTATTTTCAAGTTTCAATATTTATACTGTTACATGGCAACAAATCGCAGAAATTCATGATGTAGAAAGCTTTAATTAATCTATAACTGTTATATAACTAAAATGTTCTATTTAAATGCAATGTATTTATAAAGTATAGCAGTGTTGGTCAAGTGTTTAGATAATTAAGTCTCTGCCATTATAAGGTAGTATCAAGAAATGTTAATATTTTTAGTATCATAAAAAATAACAATAATACTTGTTGGAAAATATTAAGTTCTAAAATGTCCTTTAATACGTAATCAACGTCAAAATTCAGCAATCTAAGTAACACACTACTCAAGTACAAACACAATAGCTTAGAAAACAGCAACTAAACTTTTATCGTATTTTATACATTCTGATTGTATACAAACATTAGGTATAACGTGTTTCTAGAGGAAGTTTCTAGTCTTTAAAATCGTAAAGTGACATCTCAAGTACATTTGCTTTCAATGATAAATATTTTTGACATCTTCAGTAAATTATAAAAACTATTATGTGCTTCGTTTTACCATTTGTATTTCGGGGGTAAAAATGAATTATTTCGTAAAATACTGAGCTAAAAATACTTGTACTTGTTTAAGTATAATGAAATATTTTTTGCCATAATGAAAGTGGACCCTGACATACGCTAATTACATGGTTACAAAAGCACCCATTTTAGCAAATAATATAATTACATTCTCAAGTACATACATATACTGTACTTTACGAATAACTCTTTACAATCAGTTAAAAATTCGTTTTTATTCGTAGTTCCCATTTTTTTCCAACAATAACGTTGAAAGCTAGCAAAGCTTTAGAAGAAAAATATGTTCTGGCTCGTAATGCTGTATACATTTACGAATTACCTCTCGAAAATGTCAGCGTCCGAGTACTTGTTTGTTTCGTGTCTTAGTTATGTTATTTCCCATATTAATTTCCAAACTAATATGGAAATATAATTGTGTTGGGTAACGAACGTTCGACACTAGTGTACAACACTGAACAACATAATCAATCAACTAACAATATCCTTAAGACATTTACTGCCACAGATTGGTGGAAAGCGTTTGTCCGGAAAGAGTAGTAGTTGTCTTTCCTGGAGTGTTTGAGAAACTAGTGCCTCCCAAAGATAGTTGGGACATTTGCTGCGGTAACTGCAATACGAATAATTGCATTATTAATAAAAAAAAAAACAGCAAACTTCCAATCGTTGTACAAACGATGTACCTGACCACTAAAGCCAACAGATTGTTGTCGTTGCTGTTGTTGTGTTGGTAAGTTGAAAAAAGGATTGCTACCAGGAGCTGGCTGAAGATTTTGTGTTAACATTCCACTCCATCCATTATTGCTACTAACATTAGACTGTCCTAGTTGCATCATCTACAGATATATTAAATAATTGATCTAGCTATTTATGATTATATCCTATAATATACAGTAGACACTTGATATGAAGTTTCGATGTGTAATGACACATTTTTTAATATTTGATATATTAATATTTTAATTAATATAACATTATAATATTATTATAATATTTTAATTAATATAACATTATAATATTATTATATTTTAATTAATAAAACAAACAAAAACAAATTCCGAAATTTTAACAATATAAAAATAGATGTACCATTTGAGATTGCATCGTAATAGCAGGATTAGGTGCACCATTCATTTGATGCATCTGGCCTATTTGTATGCAGTTCCCTATAGAGTTTGCTGCAACAGATCCTAATGAATTCGGATTTACCGTCATTTGAGCCTGATTGACGGTTAATTGATTAGTTGTAACAGGCATTTGAGCAGGAAGATGGTTAAGTTGAGTCAAAGAACTTTGTTGATTCGGAAAATTACTTTGCTGGCCGAATGCTACCATGTTTGGTACTTGTTTGTATTGAACATTCGATTGTTGTTGAGGATATACTCCACCTGAAATATGATAAAGTACAAGTTATAATAAAGTTATAAATAAAACATAGTATTTAAAATAATTATTATACCAGGAACTCCATAAATTGTTGATTGTTGATGACTCGGTGTACCATATAAGGCCAAAATACTATCTTTAGACATTTTACTTTTTTCTTGAGGCGATGGTGCTGGCTGATCAAAGAAACTTTCTTCTTCACTTTTACTCACAGTAGTCGCGTTTGTAGTTACATTAGATGTACTACTATTAGCTGTAGCTGCTGTAGCCGGAGGCGCAGACAAGAAGGAAGAAAATATATCATCTCCAGCACCGTTTACGTTCGATTGATTTGTTGCTGGAGCATCTGTTAAAAACTCAGAATACATTAAAAATGCAATTTTTGTATAAAATTTGGTAAAAAGCAAACATATAATAGTAAGTTACCTAAACCCAATAAGTCTAAAGTAGCAGCAGTGGTAGCCCTATTTGGTTTAGGACTAACAGAACTTTTAGGTTTTGGCAACTGAGGCACAACTTCCGGTTTTTTTACAGGTGGGAGTATAGTTTGATTATTAGTAGTTTTTGAATTCTCCTTTTTTCGTCTACGTTGTCTTTCGGCTTCTTCGTCGAGCTCCTTATCCCAATTTATCTATATGTAACATGTAATAATTAATATGTTATATCTTGTATTTAAATATATCTTTAAAAGATAAACATAATTATACCTTTGGTAAAGGCGGAGGTACCCACTCTCTAGCTATGTACTTTTTATGCTCGTATTTTGCACGAATGAAACTCTCAAGACTACAGTCTGTTTGTGGTCTTCGAAAACTGTCTGGGAGGTTTGCTTCATATATAGCTCTCGCTCGAGAATTACCAATCTGCTGCAAGCTCTGAAAAGAACAAAAATATATTCTTTCCAAAGATCTATATGTTATATCGTTACAAGAAAAATTGTAGGGTTCGGCACATACAAAATATCTAGAAAGATAAAGTCACTACATACATACCACTACTTGTTCTGGTGTCCATGTATCTAAGTTAACCGATTTAACTTTGCTTATATGGACTCCAAGATTTCTATGTATCCCAGCACAACGAATACATAAAAATATACCTAAATTCCAACTAGCCCACCTTGGTCCTATGAAAAGACCATATGTTTTATGTTTTATTTATAAGTAACGTTCAATAACATATATTAAGATATACAATATTAGCACATTTAATATTTGTATACAATCTACAAATATACACAGATAAGAGTAAAATTTTTAAATATTATTATAAACAGAGAATTAGTCAAAAATAAAAAGGTGACAGGTCATACAAATATTTCACTATACGCATATAAATATTTGGTAAATAAATAAAGAAATATCATTTCTGAAAATTATTTATTAGAAATCAACAGAAAAATAAGACAGTTGTAACAAGAAACTAGACGATTACAGAACGTTGGCGATGTTCATCTGCGATTGCTGTCATTTAGAGTTTGTCACAATGGGAATTAAAAATCTATAATGTTTCGTTAGACGAAACTAGGTCGTTTTGAAATCGATATCGATGACCTGCATGCATCATCGGTTGATAAGAAAATGAAATTTATCAGACGTATAGGGGGTGGATGTAACAGTACTAAATTTCGTATGTGAGGAGATATCGGTGGAATACATATTCACAACTGACGGACGAACCTTTCGCATCGCAGTCGACACAATACTTGTTGTCCTCGTCGCGTAGCATCTGCGTCAAAAGATTTTGACATTTTTCTTGAATCTGTTTGGCACGTTCTTTTTCAAGGCGAGATGTCATTTTTCAACGGTGGCTGAACAATCCGACCGCAGTTATCTCCAAAACAATGTTATTTTCCTTACAACACTGGACTGGACACGCACGAGAACCGTCAAATAGTCGAACGCCCTCCAATAGGCAGTAGTCCAACTCGTTATTCACCGAAACGTCATGCAGTTGAAAGAATTCTATTGGATCCGTTTGCTTCGGTTCCTCGAACCAAACGATACATAGATTCGTCATCGAAATAACTGTTCAGCATTTATGTTGCTGCAGCAGGGCTCGGAATTAACTTGCCCGCGACAGAGACAGAATATTTTCGGTGACTGCTCTGAAATATGCTGCGAAATGGCACCGTCCAATCCTATTTGTGAGATCTCCCCTCCACCGCTCTCGGCACCTCGTATCATAGCAGTCTTTGAAAACGCTCTGTCTCTGTCGCGGGCAAGTTAATTCCGAGCCCTGTATTACAGCGATTCCGAAATTTCTGCAAGACTCTCGTAAGGCAGGACGCATGTCCAGCGATGTTAATTTTGTGTACTTCCGTCTTCGATCGAGCATTACCGAACTCACGCCAAGTTAAAACAGAAGTTCGTCACTGTACCGCCGACGGCGCTGAGATAGAAAGTCTTCGAATCTCGCATCGTTGTGTCAACGTATGCACGTACTTCGCGGCTAAGCATTCATTGTTCATCGAGCCTCGAGCCTTCTATGTCTATCTCTATTCTCTATCAACTGATTCGCGTTTGCGCTACGTGCAGTGGGTAACATCGATATGTCAATACTTGTAAAGTACGAGCTTTCGTAAAAAGTGTACGATGTCGTAAAAAGTACGCGGAGATATTTTTCAAGTAATCGTAGGCTGCAACAGTGATTAGGTTATGAAAAAGTCGAACAAGCATTGGACAGGTGTGGGTAATATTTCAACAGTGTGTTTGTCCGAGGTGAAGGGGGACCGTGAGGACCTCGAAGACAGACTCTCGACCTTTTACATGAAGGAACAAGATATCCCGGAATATTTGGAAGGCTGTGGTTTAACCACCTGCACAGCCGATATGCCTGAGGACGTAGCCGCCCTGCGGGATAATAAGGAACAGATGAAAGAAAAAAAGTTATCCTCCGCGTCCATAGCGGGCCCCGACACTAAGAAAACAGTAACTGTCAAACATCCTGAATCGAACAAACCGAAACCGACCACGAAAAAAGGCAAACCGATCCAAGCTGACTTAGACGTTTCGAAAGAGTTTATACGATGCAGAGACGAATGTGTGAAACGGCTAGATTTAAGTAAATCGAGCATCACGCATCTGCCAAGCACAGTGCGGGATTTGACGCATTTGGTGGAATTTTATCTATATGGTAACAAGCTCGCAACATTACCCCCGGAGATTGGTTACCTCGCGAATTTGGAAACACTGGCTTTAAGTGAAAATTCTCTTACCAGTTTGCCAGGGTCATTGGAAAACTTGAAATCATTAAGAGTACTGGACCTCAGGCATAATAAATTGAACGAAATACCCGATGTTGTTTATAAATTGACCAGTCTCACGACTCTGTATTTACGCTTCAATCGCGTCAAATATGTCAACAACAACATTAGAAACTTGACAAATTTAACCATGCTGAGCTTGAGGGAAAACAAAATCAAGGAACTTCCTGCCGGTATCGGAAAATTGGTCAATTTAATAACATTCGACGTGTCCCACAACCATCTGGAGCATTTGCCCGAAGAGATCGGAAATTGCATCCAATTGTCTACTCTTGATTTGCAGCACAACGAGCTTTTGGATATTCCAGATACAATTGGGAATTTAATTGCTTTGACGAGATTAGGTCTTAGATACAATAGATTAACTAATATTCCAAAATCGTTGGCAAAGTGTAAGCTAATGGATGAGTTCAGCGTCGAAGGAAATCAAGTGTGTCAACTGCCCGATGGGCTGCTGTCTAGCCTTTCCGATTTGACATCGATTACATTGTCCAGGAATGCCTTCACCGCATATCCGTCAGGAGGACCAGCCCAATTTACGAATGTTTACGCTATCAATCTTGAACATAACAAGATCGATAAAATACCGTACGGTATTTTCTCTAGAGCGAGAAATTTAACAAAGTTAAATATGAAGGAAAACCAATTAACTGCTCTACCTTTAGATATCGGTACATGGGTTAAAATGGTCGAATTGAATTTGGGCACCAATCAGCTGACAAAGATTCCAGACGATATTCAATGTCTTCAAAGTTTGGAGATCTTAATACTTTCTAATAATTTATTGAAACGCATTCCTGCCAGCATAGCAAACTTACGCAAACTTAGAGTTTTAGATCTTGAAGAAAATAAGATCGACTCTTTACCCAATGAGATTGGTTTCCTACGAGATTTGCAGAAATTAATCTTGCAAAGTAATCAAGTGACTACTTTGCCAAGAGCGATCGGTAACTTGACAAATTTAACGTATTTAAGCATAGGGGAAAATAATCTTACCTATTTACCCGAAGAAATTGGTACATTGGAAAATTTAGATTCACTGTACATAAATGATAATGCAAACTTACATAATTTACCATTTGAATTAGCTTTGTGCACAAACCTTAGTATTATGTCAATTGAAAATTGTCCACTTTCACAAATTCCACCAGAGATAGTTGGCGGAGGTCCTTCCTTAGTGATTCAGTTTTTAAAAATGCAAGGACCTTATCGATCTATGTAACAAAATTAGAAAATTGTCTTTCACACGA